TTCAAAATTCAATTAGTATAATATCTATACGCCTTCCTCTAAATTTGTCAATATTAAAAAATCGCTTATTTTATCATATATATGAAATATTAATGAAAATCTATTTTTAGATGTATATAATTCAAGTAAATATTTCAGAATTAGCCGAGATATATTCGAGAAATATCGCTCGTAATCGATATAAATAAAGAATATTTTCATAATGTTGAAAAAAATGAATTTCAAATTTTACATAAAAATCTGTTCGTATTCTCATGAAATTTATAATTTTGTATTTCGTAATATCTCATATATATATATATCTTTACATCCAGGTTTAAATTTTATATATTCATAATAAATATCATATATTTAGATCCTTTTAGTCAGATATAACTTAAATATTGAAAAATGTTTCATATTCTTTGTATAGAATTCAAAATGTATTTATTATTTAATATTATTATCTCAATCATTAATAATATATTGTCATATTTTCTGTTTTGAATTATTAAAGTTTTTCTCTTCTTTAAATTTCCGATAATGTAAGTCTAATATATGATGTTTTATTTAATTTAATATTTACATTATTTATCTATAGAATCTCACAGCTTCCCATATTTGGCGCCGTATCAGAAACCAAAATAGGGGTTGGTTCTCCGAAAGGACTAAGATTCTAATAGTGGTCATTAGCAAAATCTCATCTTCGCCAATATTCGTGTCTCGGTTCTGCAGTTTCGACTTCCGAAATCTCAGGTTGAGTGTCATTGGGCCAGGCAGGGCCTTTGCTACAGGCGATGCTTGCTAAGTCCAAACAATGGTTTGCATTATCGAGTTCAACTTCTTGACTATCGACTTTCGGTAGGGAGGGTAGCAGCAGGGCCTGTATGCACAGGCTATGATACAGCGAGTTGTCCGAGATGTCTCAAGTCAAGAAAAATTGAGAATACAATCTATGCTACTGCCGCAAGTGACTGCTCGGACAACCTGCCTTGTGGTGGCACCATGACTTTGGCCACATTTCCGTACATTAGCCAATGAGGTGAGGTCTTCGACGGCGGTTAGTATGCCAGCGATCTGAATCGCGTCATTCCGGCGATTCGGCACGGAGTCGCTCGACTTGACTGCGTACTTTCGAGATGCACTGCGGTGTTGTCACTGTGCAAATCTATGTCAAGCAGCACATGCCAGAGATGGTCTTGCTTGCTTACTCTGCTTACTCCACGAATCCAAGTTCGTTTGTCCGAGACTTTGTCATCTCAACACTTCCATGTCAGGTCACTACCGGGCTGTCACCGGCTCCGAGGAGGACCAGCGTCTCCCTGAGCCTGAGACAGGGTGACAAAGAACTTCGAAAAGCCCCAAGTGGCCCTTGGTCCCCTGGCCGGTCTGTGCGGGGGAAGAAGCACCGAGGACCTTGGAACGTGTTTCTTCTGCTTCGTGGCACTTCCAGCGCGAGCTTCACTCACTTCGCTCGCGGCTGGCTCACCAAGGCTTTGATGAACGTCTCGGCGCTCCTGCATCAACAGCGGAAGACTCTGATCTCGCTGCACGGCAACTATGTATTGCTAACAGGGGCCACCTGGTCCGCACGGAAGCGCTGAGCCTCGCAAATCGCAAACGCTCACTTAAGCTGGCCAGGAAGCCTTAAAGTTGAAGCACTCTTGACTCTTGCCTTTTTTCGAACTCTTTTTCCAGGTAAACAGCTCTTTTGAGGCCTCCCAGTTCTTTGCCAGGGTGGTGTCATCGCGGCGAAATCGCTCCAGCTGCGATTCCATGAGTCGAACCTTGGCGCTCATGCACTGCTGCACCCGGAATTCTGTTATGTTGTCCGGTGGAGTCCCCGACCTCGTCTTCCAGCTCTCGCTGCAAGCGCTGGTTTTCCCTCTCCTCTCGGTGACATTCCTGTAGAAGGGCGTGGCGGGGTCCCGGACTGACACGACGCCTGCGCTACGGCGCCTGCCGAAGAAAGCCGAGGCTGGTCTCGCTTTCCACAAGTCGGCTTCGTACCTGTGGAGTATTTCGCTAGGCCAAGCTTAGACATTGGCGCAGGCACTTGAGGAGCTACACAAAGAAAACAGACAACTCCAGCCATACAACCGTGTGTCGATTTGAGAGCATGCGTTCTCACTGATCAGTCGGGTCGCTCGCTCTACGTCCTGCTCCATGTCCTCCACTCTCTGTTGCCGGTGGTCGACGTACTGTCACGAATACACACCAGCTTTCGTTGAACTGAGCTTGCATGGAGGCGCCGCTCCGCATCTTTCGCACTTTCACTCCAGTCGCGGGACGACAACAGGCTGCAGCCGTGAGAAAAGTGGGGCCAAGTAGGCCCCGAAATATTGGTTCGGCCCAGAACGATTCTTTGGAGACCGCTTAAAGTCTTAGACTCATGAGGTCTCTGTGGTCTGGCCAGGAAAACCGAGCGAAGCAAGGTCCTAATGCTACGCGATTCGGAGCTCAGCATCTCTCAGTGTCACAAGAGTCTGCGAAACTTCAGCTTTCAGCAACTTGTGGGTCGGATGTCCATCAACGGCGCATTGCCTTGCGAAGTACCAGGGCCGCCCGTGGCAGTACGTCTCTCGCGGAGATCGATGCGCTCCTGCCATCTCTACAACCCCAGAAAGCTCTGTCCACGTCCCGACTCTCTCCGCTCTGAACAGCTTTAGGGAGGTTTGAGGTATGGGAGGTGAGGCTTTCAACTCGAGGCAGAAGAAACAACGCCAACGTCCTCGTGGCTCCCACGAAACCAGCAGGGTGATGTATCCGCAGGGGTCTAGCAGCACCTGAAATGCGGGCTGCATCTTGGAAGGCTCTACCCTCTTGTCTGGTATCGGGCTGAACGTGAGGTCGTAATGTCGGAGGTGATGGACAATGACTTCGAAAGCAAAGAGCATTCGCATGCTAGCAAGCAAGTATCCATACTATGCACCGACCAAAGGCGTTGCGTCCCGAACCTTTGGGGCTTCGGGCCACATCTGCGAGTGCCGCCCCCACAAATCTGATAAGCATTTCCCTTTACCTTCTTTGGCGCCCACACCCTTGAGACCAGAAGCACCAATTCAAGGACACCAAGTACCAGCTGCTGCAAACCTGTCTGATTGCAACTAATAAACGGGCTACCGAGATGAGCGCGATAAGACAAATAAAAAGAAGCCAAGCCATACTAGCAGCGCCGGACACAGCCGCGGCGACAGCAGCAATGGCAAGACAACGGCGATGACTGCGAGGATGCTACATCATTCAAGCTGTAACGGACTGTAATGCAACACCAGCAATCGTTGAAAGAATGCGTTGCCATTCTCGGAACCATACCATCCAGCCCCGCCAGCAGTCTATGTTCTCGCTTGCAAGATGAAGCGAGAGCCGCTGAGTCTGAAGCTGGAAAAGCTCCGATGAGACATCTGCACCGCAAGCCGCTGAGAACTGCTGCGGGCTCTCTGTGGGACCTGTGCGACATCGAGTAAAGCCAGTGTGAGCAAGGGAAAGTCTTGAACAATCGAACAGTCCTGCACTGCCGGTGTCGTCGTGTCTCAAGTCAAACGGCAGCAGAGCACCACGAGATACCACGTAGTGCAGGCCCGCCACAAGTGCTGCGGATGACTTAAGCATCATAATGTACGATGGAAACCTCAAAAGCCGTGCCCGCATGCTCAAGACAAGTTCTAGCAAACGCTCACCTCCTGCTTAGTTGATGCACCTGCAGAACCAGCACGCCGATGACCATGAGAGTCACAAACGTTCGCAAATCACTGAAACAACCATGCAATTTCTATGCTGGCGGACTGTGTATGCCACACCAGGAGAACTAGCCAAGATCCTTCGAACAACGACACCGCAAGAACATCAGGTCCCATCCACAGGCTGTGCGACCTCCAAGGGCTCTGGTTGCTCCATGGTGGCCGGCTCCTGGTCAATCTGCCACAATCTGCTTGGACGAAGGGCTCTAGGAAGCGATGAATGCGACTCACAAGTCTCCTCGGAGAGGCTTTCGCCGGACGGCAGCATTTGACGGGCCACTGACTCGACCTTTGCCAGGTTCACTTCCGCTCTGCGAACTCTTTCACGTGCATCGCCTCGGCTGTCCACTGCACACGTGCTTGAAGGAATTTGAATGAAGACTTCGAACCCCGTGCTCCGGTGGTTCCTCAACGCATTCATGCGGCAAACGGCCATCCATCCGCCGCTTTGCTGCTTCGCTTCGGCCTGCGTTCGTTTGACTAATGAGACTAATGCCTCTGCGCCTCTGGGGGCTTTGGGAGAACTCGCAGATAGTTTACAGCGTCCCATCATGAACTGCTGATGTGATACTTGTTATGCCCGCAGGGACTTGGTGTTGAATTTGTGCAAGGCAAGGAGAGATCAAGAAGAAGCGAGGACAGACTCAGCGAAACTTGGCTAAACCAACAGCATTCCCACACCCTTCGTTCACCTCCACACTTTGCAGCTGCTGACGGGCAGCCGTCAGCGCCATCTTGGCCTGTCAGAACGTTGCTTGTTGTCAGGAACATACTGACAGAGGCAGGAGTGGAGAAGGTGCTAGGTGAAGAGTCTGTGGTCTGCGGCGCTCGCAGAGGAACTGCTGTCAAGTCCGCGTCGAGCAGACGTTGCATGGCAGTTGCCACAGGTCGGATGACGTCACTGCCACAGACGTGCTCTCGAAGCTCGCTCCCCAAGCTGAAGGCCTCCTCCATCATATCAGATGCATCCGCAGGGGAAGCAGGCAGCAGAACCTCCAGGAGGAAGGACCGGGGAATTCAAGAGTGACGAAAGTTTCGGTGCTCCGCTGCGGACACTCGCTCGGACACCCAACAGCTCCCAGCCCGATTGGCAACCGATGCCTGTGCTTCTGCCACGGCCTGCACAAGTCTCCACGAATCGTGCATTTGTCATGCGGATCGAAGCCACAGAGGTAGGCTTGGCACTGACAGGCCCTCTCTGCTTCCCAAATTGGCCTGGATCTCTGCCTCGATTTCGGCGGCCACCCTGCAAAGGCAGCAAACTGGCGACTTGTGGCGGTTATTCGCTGCATTTCCCTGCAACCACCCTGTTTGCGACGTGGTCGCCCCGTGTCTTGCCTTTCGGCTGTTGCTTCAGCCGCCAGACGTCGCGCTGAGAGCTCCTTGCATTTTTCTGCCGTGCGACACGGTGCAGCACTGCGATGTTCAAAGGCGCTTGCGAGCTCCTGGCCTCAGCGGGGACTTCATCAGGAAGCAAATCGCGCACAAGTGGAACTTGTTTTGCAAACATCTGGCGAATCAATTGAATGACGTAAGCCGAACGGGAGCTGATGCGCAAGCTGCACAACCTGAACCCTCTGCCTTGAGTGTTTGAAGAATGACATAGGTCACTACGAAGACCAGGCCTGCCCCACATTGCAGAGACTCAGGAGAACCGAGAGATCTAGTCTGCGCATACTTCAGTTGCCTATCATGAAAGCTGCCCATAGCATGCCCATGGCCAGTCCAATCGCCGGAATTACAAAGAAGGCGGCTGCCCAAATCAGGAAAGGATACCTCAGAGCAAAGTGTTCAGAGCTCAACGGACACAACACTCGCAAACCAGGTGGTGACATGTACCCCTGTCTTTTGGCATGTACCCCTGTCTTTTGGCAAGGTACGGCATTGTCGAGCTCTGCAGCAGGCGGACGGGCACGGGTGTTGGACTGATTCTGGAAGGACAACCCTGGGGTGATTTCTAGCATGTCTGTTGCGCAGCATTTGTTTGGTCGAGGGTTGTCCAGCAAAGCTGTTTGCACTCGAAGGCCTGTCAGCAAGTACAGGCGATCTAAGCAACATACACGAGTAGTACATCTTGCCATCCAGTTCTGCCGACATGAATGCATGGTCTCAAATGAAGACTTGAAGGCTCACGCAGCCTGGGCAGGAGGCTCGGTGCATGCCCACACGTTTCGGATCAAAGCAGCAGGGTATCTCAGCAGCGCCTCGTGGCCTTGGGCCAGCTCGCTCCTTCTGCTCTCCTGCGCTCGGAGCTCTCAGAGCTCTCAGCCTACGCAGGGCCCTCTTGGCCCATGCCTCGATCCTCATCTTCTCCTTCTCCATACCTGCACTCTGACGACCCGCCGGGACCGTGGAAAGGCAAGGTGTTTCGCTGAGGCAATCCGGCTGTGAATGCTGCCTACGAGCAGGAGAGATTCCAACCGCAATGAGATACCGCTCTAGCATCCGATCATACACTTAACTGTCGGCCGAAGGGTTCGAGCAATGGGCCCTGGGATATACACCATGTTCACCCAGCGAGGCAGCTATGTCTGCGGCAAGTCCCCAAAATGCCACCTTCCAAGCGATGTCGACTTTCACTTCGGGCCTGCCTGGGACACTTCACGTGGGTGAAGGCACCGTGGAGGTGCTCACAGACAGCTAGTGCCTCAACGCTGCCGAAGCGAGCTCCTTCTCGCGCTCACACTCCTCCTTCGCCTGAACGGCGGAGGCATCTGCAAAGAGACGGAGGCCGCTGCTTTGCCAAGTCTGGCCTGCTCATGCACCTTCCGATGATTGAGCAACACAGCTTCGTAGCGCTCTCGGTCAGTGTAAAGAATTTGCACCTGGCTGCAGAGCTATGCGACTGTCTCGTTCCCCTGTGGTCTCTGTGAAGCAGAAGAAAGAATTTCAGGAGGCCTGGTTCTCCAGATTCCTTTCCATGACGGACAACACCTTTCACACTCCGGGCGCGAAGGCCCAAGCCCAAGCAGAGCTGTACAGCGACAGGTGCCTCGATGGCCTGCTGGCGCTGTGCTTCAGCCTGCAAGTAGCCGCTCTGGCGCTGCATGGGCTACTGTGAGGAGGGCATTTTCTCGGATGAGAGCTAGGTGTGGTTTCAGCTGCACATCGGGAGCCATGTTGTTGTTTCGGAGGATGCCCCGACTTTGCTCGATGTCTTCCGAGGGCCCCTAGGCCCCCTAGGCCCATAGTCACGGTCTCAGTCCAGCCCCATCTGCCTCTGATGCCACGCGAGCCTGAGGCTGGGCACGGAACACCGAACCCTAGCAGTTTCATGCCACAGGAGTCTGGACACTAGCCTGCAGTCAACACTCTGGTCTAGTCTGAATCCACGTCGGTCAATTGACGGCAACGCTTTTTCTTCCGGGGGTCCGCACTCGCTGGTCCGCCACTTCTCGCAAGCGCTCTCGGCAGCTTACCAGCAGCTCCTCTCAACCCGAGCAGCGCAAGCACTGTGCACTGCGAGGTGTGCAAAGCTCGGTCCTGAGACTCCTTGAGCTGCGCCTCCGCGGCGGCCTGTGCTTCGCATCTTTCATTGTGAGGGGGACAGGCAACCTAGATTCGGTAGAGTAGATCTCTTCTCCGACACGAAGAAAACAGTACACACATAACCTCACCTCATGGAGCAGCACTTGCAGTCTTGCTAAGTTGTCAATTGGAACTCCGGCCGGAGCAACAAGCGCATGTTTGCATCGATGCGCCAGGCTGAGTAGTGTCTGGGACTGACATCAGATGCGATTCGAGGATTCGCTAGGATTTCGTGGCCTGTGCTGTTGGCAGCCGCTCATGACAGCAAGGCCGGCAATGGCAGTCAGAGTTTCCCGTCTTAGCCCCGGCCTGTCGTGTCGTGCTCTCAACTTCACGACCTTTGTGACACGGTGTGGACGGATATCTTCCCGAAGTCACCCTTCAGGGCTTGGGCTCCTGGTCGCGCGGCGCTTCTGCACCAAGTCCCCTGCCAGAAGTACGGAAAAACAAACACGCAAAGTGTAAGCATGTCGTGACGGATCATCTGCACGAAAGCGCGATTTCCGTGCCTGATATCTGGCGAATTTCCTGCTCCAAATCTTCGTTGCACCCGATCAGCATGTTGCACATAGCCTGCACATTCGAACATGCTCCCTGACTTCCCTGTCTCAAGAGGAGCATATGATGCAGGGAAACCTCTATCGGTTTGTTCATTGCAGCATAACCTCTGGTTTCAAGGCGAGCTGGTATGCCCAGCTTAGAACACTGCTTGTCCCTTCAATCGGACATGCTGATGTTTACAAACTTGAACATGCCTATGTGATGTACTGTTGCCTTTCATCAGATTCCTTTGTCTTGCGGGGGAAGCAATCGCACATTGCTTGGCCATAAACTCACACATTGGTTTTAACTCTGCTCGTTGTCGAAAGCGGCGATTAACAGATCAACGTGAGCTTTACGATCTGGACTCAAACCGCCGTGGCCGCATGTGGGTGCTTTGCCAAGACCTGATTTGTGAGCCATTTGCCGACAAGGCAAGATTCGAGAGCACCCATGTGTGAAACAAAGTCATGCGTCCGAGGGAAGCGGAAGTATCAAGATACGGCTTATGTTCTTACGCCGTGTTTTTCGCAAACTGGCTGGATTCGTAGCTGCCAAAGCTTTCAACTCTCGAACAGCAAGATTACGTCAAACTGGCTCCAGAAACCGCCAAGCAACAGCGAGACGCATGTCTCATTAATCCCGAGCCGCTACAATGCACATGCCCCCCTGCCAATACGGCCGCTCCAAGAAGATAGCAGTGTCTTTCGGTTCTCGTTCGATCTGTTTCTTCTGGTTGATGCTTTTCACGGGTCCGTCATTGCATTAACCTGCGGATCATGTAGGCAAGCTACTACACCTACTCACTTGACTCCCACTACCGATCGCCGAAACCGATCGGATCTGCCATGCTTTCGCCACTAAGTCCAGTCTCGTTAGAAACCCTCATAATCGCAACATGCAGCTCAATTTCGGTCGTTGTGCCTTGCGGCAAAAATAATCTCGTTTCAACTTTGCCAGATCTGTGCGACTTTCCTTCGATTTGAGAAAGCTGCATCAATTTCGGCTGCTGCTTAACTTCCAGGCCAACTCTCAACGCCTGCTGGCCTTTACAAGAAATCCAACTGAAATCCGTATTTATGTGCCACCCTCCAAACATGCAACCCTGGGACTCCCCAAACTTTACTATTTGCCGTCAAACCCCAATGCCTGTATAACCCTGAAAACTAACCCTAAACCCAAACCCCAAGCTCTGAACACCAAAGCCCAAACCATAAGCGTTTAACATCAAAAATGCGGTCAATGCGGCACTGGCTTTAATATCTTCAATTAGGTGACCCTCTGTAGTTCATTTTTCCGGTGCTTATTCAGGATTTGGCCTTTTTGGCCGTCCTCGTGCTCAAACAAAACAGATTCTTTCCAGCCGTTTCTAAACATGGAAGTGGGTCTGAAGCTGGATCGATCTGCACTCACGCTGGATTTGAAGGGATTCGGAGCCGTTTCTGGTGGTGCTAACAGGTCTTAGGAGGGCTCAGGCTCCGGTTCTGGTATTTACCTAATGAAAATGCTTAGTTTTGCTGTTTTGGGACTGAAGACAGTAAGATTTTGGAGGCTTTGTAAAGGGTTTAGGAAGGGTTCAAGCTCGGGTTCTAGGTGGTAAAACCCACACCATCCCAAAACTCCATGGGACCTCCCGACTTAGCCAGCCCAAAGCCCAAAATCCTTCTAATTTTCTGTGCTACTACTTTACTACTCCAATACTGCACTATTGCACTAATTACTACTACTACTACTACTACTACTACTACTACTACTTCTACTTCTACTACTACTACTCCTGCTACTAGTACTACTAGTACTAGTACTACTACTACTAGTACTACTACTACTACTACTACGGCTACTACTACTACTACTACTACTACTACTACTACTACCACTACCACTACTACGAGCCACCCCCTACCAACTACACTTCGTCATTGTCATCAACATCATCACCACCAACATCACAAACAGCAAACAGATTTCATGACCAACATCACGAAAAATCAAAAACATGTCATCACCTTTCACACAAACATCACCAAAAGTACTGCACATGCCGAATGAAAGCGGGGTTGTGTGCTCACGAAAACGCAAACTCATTTCATCACCAACATCACCCAAAAGCAAACACATCTCATCATCAACATCACGAACAATCAAAACCATTTCATCATCTTTCATCACCAACATCACCAAAAGTACTGTAAATACCGAGTAAAAGAAGGGTTGTGTGCGAAAGTAGTGTAAATACGGAGGAATTTTTTGGGCCCCATCCAATTTCGAGTTTTCGCTGCAAGCCGTTCGAGACACCAAAGTTTCAGACGCACAGTCCAGAAGTAGGGGTGGCAACTATATAAGCAGGTACGACATCACGAAAGTACTGTAAATATCGAGTAAAACGGCTCTGGTGGTGATACTGTTGGTCGTGTTTGCGTAACACTGTCGTCATCATCATCACCATCGTCATCATCATCCCCCACCCCCGATCCCACCCACCCACCCCCCCAGAAGCAAGTCCCAAATCAATAGGCCGAGTTTGCAAACTGGGCAAGTCGATTTTGAGGCTTCTACTACTACTACTACTACTACTGCATTTCATACTGCCCACTGCTACTGTGCTTATGTACTACTCATTCCTCCTCCGAAAAGGGGGGGTCTGGCGAGCAGGGACGAATCATATGGTTGAACCACATTGCCGTCGGGAAATGGTTGGGGGTGGGATGGCCCACTTGACCAATTGCCACATTAAGCCAAAAACCCAACCACAAAGCCCACAACGCCAGCACTAAACCCAAGGGAGAAGCCACGGTTGCTATGCACCCACAAAAAAGAAGAAGGTATGAAAAAGTACGCGTAGTTGACAAATCAAAGGGCAGAAACCTTGGCTCGGAGAAAGCTGCCCTGTGTCTCACCGAAAAGCAGCTCGTCCGGACGACAAAAGAGGATGACGTCTTCTTGGGCTGTACCGCGAAAGGAAGCTGCTTGTTGACGAGGGCTGATGCAATTGACAGACTCTTGCAAGCCTGAAGAGTGAGAAGATCGCCATTGAAACCCTGCTTTGCAGCGTTGAAATCCTTCTCCAGGGCCTGTGGCAGTGGCAGTTGACAACCAAGAAGCTCACGACAGCTCATGGCCTGCGCATGTGACTTTCAACGTCGATAGCATCGCAAGATCCGCTAAAGTGCGTCGCTCTACTTCGCCCTGGAGCCTCACGGCCGTTGTTCTCTGCGTCCCAGTGCGACCTGCTTTTTCCAGCACAGAATCCACAGGGAGCCAGGCCTTGTTGAACACCCCAACAAAACACGGTACGACTTGCCACTCTCAAGACCTTGCATCGTTTCGGCCTCCACGATGAAATATCAGCATCGGAGGTCGCGATGTCCTGCAGTGAGGCCTGAAAATGCTGAGCAGACTTCGGCCTGCCATGGCTTCACATGCCGAGCTCAGTGATTCAGCATGGTCCGCCTCATGGTCAGCTTGCAGCTTGAGCAAGTCCTTTTGAACATGGCGGGCGTGGACAATAAGGACAGCGAATACACAGCTGCCACGAGTGCAAGTACGCACGGCTCGGAGGTGAATCTCTTTTTTCATTCAGAGGTCAGTGCTCCAAAATGTCCAAAGTTACACGTATGATGTAAAACATAGACAGGAGGCAGGTTCAAGAGGCCCCGGCAGTTCGAGAGCCAGGAAATTGAAGGACAACTTATTCTGTGTTGTAGCATTCTACAATGGTGTGATTGATACTTTGCCATGTGGCATGGCCTTTCTGTACATGTGCCTCCTTGGTGCAAGGTTGAAGACGAGCTTGAGGAACGACGGACCCAAAGTTTGCTGTGCAGATGGAGCTTACCACTATTTGCAAGTGCTGCTAGCATGATCTAGTATGCTGACGTCTGGTTGAGCAAAGATTCATTCACAAAAGAACTGGGTCAAATATGCCTGTAGCCAGCAGCGGTTGGTTTGCTGGTCATGGTCCCGCTTGGGTTGGGACCGGCCAGTAAAACAAACCGGCAAAGCCAGGCATGTGCAAGAACAAGTGTATGAGCGAGCACGTGCAGAAGCTTGAAAAGGTGGCCCCGCTGTCAGTGGGCCTTTGTAAGTGAGAGCAAATAGCGGCAACCGAAGAATCGCCTTGGGAAGTTGAGGGCAGCGTCAGCTGCCGGGGAACCGTGAGCCCGAGGGAGGGCCGTGACAGGCAAACTCAAAATCATAACTTCCACGAAGGCTTCATCCAGTGCGCCGCAGCATCTGATCTCACCACGCGGAGCAGTGGGACAGGCATGCCTCTCGCAGAAGAAAATAGCTGCAAAAGGTGGCGGCTGCTTCCATCATGTCAAACTCTATCCAAGATGCTGTGCTCAGTACCATCCCTTGCTCTGTCCCTTGCTGCTCCCCTTGCGGCTCGAATAGCCTCGGTCCTGTGGTCGAGCTGAGGGTCACAAGTCACCACTAGCAGCTTTCGGTTTCGAGTCATCGCGCTAACACAAGCGCCCATCAGAAGGTCCTCATATCCCCAGTCATTGTAGCTGCGACCGCCACTTCCGTAACTCTGGGTGCCTGCTTTGACTGAGCAACTGAGACCGCAAGTCTTCAAGTCTTCAGGACAAAACAGATAAACCATGATGGTGTTCGCCCAGGTGCTCTTGCTCGTGCCCTTACTCTTTCCCTTGCTCTTGCCTCCGTAGCCGTAATCATCATAACCTGAATCATAACTTGAGTATCCGGACTTTCCTTTGCCCTTGCCTCGGGAACATGCAGGCACATGTCATATGCAGGTCTGCGCGACAGCACAAAACTTGCGAAGAAAGACAGCTGCAGCTGAAGTAGACAAAGGGCTCTGTCCATAGCTGTAGTCATCCTGATAGTAGTCCCTGCTCTTGCTCGTCTTTCCCTTGTCCTTGCCTTTTCCCTTGCCCTTGTCGTCTCTGGATTTGCCGCCTTTTCCGTAGTCCGAGCCTTTCTTGCCTTTCTCAGACGACTTTCCCTTGCCCTGCAAAGAATTGGATTGGCTCAAGCTGCCAGCTCCCGTGCAATGTTGCTGTGACGGCCAAATGCCAGAACAGAGAAAGCTACTGTACAGCGGCAGCGCAGGCGTCCTTGCTTTTGCCTTTGCCACTGTAGCCGTAATCGTCCTCGTAGTCGTCGTAGCTTCGGCTCTTTCCTTTGCCCTTGCCTAGGCTCGGGAATTATGACAGCCTGGTGTCCTAAGCCCACGTCCCTTGAGGAGGCAAATTGCATATAGAAAGACAAGCTCAAAAACCAAGGCGCTGGAGCTCTTTCCTTTAGAATCTCCTTTGCCCTTGCCTTTTCCCTTTGATGTGGTCGTCTTTCCCTGTCCAGGCACTTGAGGGTTACGGGACTCGGTTGAATTCCCGATGCACTCTCCGCTCAATGCGCCTTGCCCTTGCCTTTCCCTTCTCCCTTTCCCTTTCCCTTGCCCTTTCCTCGTCCCTTTCCCTTGCCGCGTCCCGCGCCCTTTCCACGACCCTTTCCGCGGCCTGGAGTCTAGGGATTTATTTGCCTGTGAGTTCTGTCCACAGGTGATGCGTAGATAGGCTACTGGTGGGCCTCCAGCTGGGCGGTCGTCTGGTGTGTACTCCTGGAGTTTGAGGGTTTGGGATGGTTTGGGCCACAAGACCGAAAGGAATAGGGGTCGGGAATTGCGAAACTCAGAGTTGACTCGGCTCTCTCCTTCACGAGGGACTCGTCCAGAGGCGGCTGGTAGCCCTGGCAAAACAAAGTTCGTCGTGAATGATGCTCAGTTGGCACGATGGCTCACATGTCGAACTGACGAGCTGAAGGGTTCCCTCGTGCCTTGTCGAACGTGTCCAAGGCGTCCTGACTTGCTTAAGCTAACAATGCCGGCCACGGACTGGCTTCGCTCGCAGCAGTCCTTGGACAACTTGATCTCGATCACGGACACGCTGCGCGTGTCGACGACCTTGTCCAGGCCTTCTTCAATTGGTTCGTACTCGTCCACGATGTCCTTAGCTGAACCGTTGAGGGGGCCTGGGGGGGTAGACCCCAGAGCAACCCGAACGTACTCCACCAGTCACTTCTTGGCACGCCCAGCAACGTCTGTTTCAGAAGCATGCTCTGCATGACTGCCAGCCCGGAACACGACTCCTGTTCGCTCCAGGCGGCGGTGGTGCCGATGTTAGTGATCTGATGCAGACCTCAAGGTAAGCTGAAAGACATGGCCGCAGGCACCACCGAAGAGTGGAGGCAAAAGCGAGCTAGGGATTTTCGTGGTGCGTGTTCAACCCCATCACATATCGCACGCACGGACAGCCAGTGGGACAATCCTGCAAGCGTCTGAAGTTGGTAGCTCATTGCAGCAGCATTTTCAGTAATGCAGCAGGCTCATCAGGTCAATGTCATCATGATCTATCAGTCTGCAAGTCGTAGCTGTAGCCGACAGGTTTGGCCCGCAAGGAAGGTGCCTTTCGCAAGGGTCTTTGCTGGCTGAGGAGTCGACCCTTGAATCGGCGCTTGATGACTTCAGCAGTAGTAACAGCCTCGACAGCTACCCCGGAGGATCAACAAATCTGAAAGTGGAGCGGGCACACCTTGGTCAGCGCGTTGCCGGTCGCCTGAATGATGACCTTGGTAGATGTGCAAAGCACATAGCGGCATAGCACAAGATCCTCTTCTGACAACGAAGCTCACTCTACTAGAGCCTGTACTCAGCCGAGCCGCGAAGGACTTGCCTAGGTCGTTGAAGACCGTTGCAGCGCGGGAAACGTAAGCCTGGTATTGTGGCGTCCCTCTCGGTACCGGTGTCGGTTGTGTGGATGGAAACTCGCGAATTACGTGCTTCGACCACAGACTAGATCCATCTTCATGCTTGCGCAGCCTTTTAACTATGGTTTGCTGACAAAGTGGCTGAGACACTGCCAGCAGCAGTCACACGGATCTCCTCATCACTCTTGACAATCTCTTCCTGGCATGTGACTCGACCAAATAAATGCTGTCATAGCAGCAGAGGGGGTAAATTGACTGGCCAACACCTCCTCTTCCCACACCGAAACTTTCTCACCACGGCATGCCACTTCTGCCACCCAGTTCATGATGGAAAAGTCCCAATAAACACAGTGGGTCAGAGGGGGTTTCAGAGCGACTTCCTGACGAGAGCCCTCAACTCGCTGTTTCCCATGCAGTGCCTTGGGCTTTGGCACTCTGCGGTACTTATCCATGGCCGAGGGCTGATGTTCAGCAGTGTGCGAAGCTCGAGAAGGATGCTGGGGATGAGCTGGCTCAATGCTGCGGCACACGTAATTTCAGCAAAGCTCAGGGTTGCGACTTGTCCAGGCCGGCATCTGACATGATCCAAGCCACTCTCTGTGGAGTCTGCGAAGTGTGCAAGAGCCGCTCCTCGTCAGAAGCTCTGATCTCATCTTCCATGGCCTGTGCTTAACTCACAGATAGTCTGAAAGGCCGGCTGGCTTTCTCGACCCCACCCCTGCACACACCTCAGAAAGGTTCCTCCAGCAGGCCGCAGACACAAATTGCTCTTGAGAAGCATTGTTCAATCTGCATTCTCATGTCAAGAAAACAGCGCATCATCACGAAGCAAGGAGCGTCACCATGTGGCTAGAAGATTCTTGTCGGTATTTGGCGCCGAGGCGAAGTTGCGCACCAAATTTGGAAGGAATCACTAGTGTTCGGAGGAATGGCCAACGGGCCACACATTCAAGCTGATGTCTAAAGAAGTTCGGAGCTTGATTTCCGACAGATGCTTGATGGGCTGAAAGAAACAGCATGGTGCACAGTCTCCTTGGACGACAACACGAACCTTTGAAAACTGACAACTAGCCTGGACCCTCCAACTGCAAAGCTGTTCCTTCAAAGTGCTGCGCCTCGATCTGCTGCAATGCCAAGGCTGACTCCACCTGAAACCAGGCACCGTGCGGGGCAAGCACAAGCAGGACTGCTGCAGGGCATTCCTCATTGTAGCAGCATGTCCCCAACCTCGTCTGCCCGCCGGTTTTCGGTGAGGCGACGCTCGCAGGAGCCCCGACCTTACCGTGTCGGAGCAGCAAGGTGCCTTCTGACACTGGCCCTCATGGCCATCTCTGCAGGTTAGGAGCCGTCGGAAATTGAGAATAATCTTAACATCCTGCTGGCAGCTAGATTTGCTCGGCGCCAAGAGTGCCTGCTGTGCATGCCCGGGGCCATAGCAGTCAGTCAGCTCAAGGTTGTTCTTGTCCTTCCAACATGGTGACATATCTGCGAAGCCCACAGCCCGCTGCCCAAATCAACAAGTTCACTGTGCGACCAATGGCAACCTGAAAACGCAAGCGTTGCTCATCCAGCTGCCCTCGGAGATCTTCATTGCTGCGGACCTTCCAGTTCGCTGCGTTCAACCGCGAATTGCATCAACGACAACGTCACTTGGGCATTCGGCCGCTGCAGCAAGGGCATCGTCCGACTCGCGCATCTGCCGCTGAAGTTCGGCAGCCACCTGTCGGCTTGCAAGGCACTGTATGGCTATGATGGTACACGTGGCGCGCACATGCGAAATACTGGGATGGATCCAATACGGCTTTCCCACATCGCATCGCTAAACAAGGCCGAGCCCGAGCTGCCGAGCTTCAACGGAATTGCTCGGAATTTCACGAGCAGACTTCCAGGACGAGCGACCCGCGCGCCTGATCCAAGCTTTGGGTCTCGCTGACCTGCAGAGAGCAAGGAAGCATCGCCTTCATCGCCATTGCCAGTGCTTTGGAGCACAGCAAGGCAAAGCAACACCCCCACTTCTTCCAATGCAGCTTTCCACAAAACTGATACCTTCAGCACTGGCTTCTTAACTAAGACAGAAGAAAGGGGCGGTGTGCCTTCGAAGTGAGGGCTGTTTCTGAGACGGCGATTTGCCGATGCAGCTGATCCAGACTAACCTGGGCGATCAATACCGCTACCCTCCAAATTTGGCAAATTTCGTGCTGCCCATCTGTCTCCCGGGCCTGCTTTGCATCCAGCTGCTTCTCCTGCTCGCTGCAGTGAGACTCCAACCTCGCTCTCTCCTCGAAGCGCTGCTTTCAACATGCTGAGAAGTGAGATCAGAACCCTTGCCGCTCCTCAATCCAAGCCTGCCTCTCCTCCAGCTGGCGCTTCTCGTGGGCCTGGCGCAAGTACCGATCCACAAAAACCCAAACCGGCACAGGCTCTATATGCATCTTTACGCAGTGCATGGCGGCTTCTTAGGCTTCTTGGTCTGGAGTCTAAGCTTAGCCCCGGAGAAGCTACTCGGCCGACTCCGGCCTGAAGCCGCGACTCAAGCTGCGAGCACTCCCTGTCAAGCGGCCGGGCCGTAAACATCGACCAACTCATCACTGCAAGAGCATCGCAAGAGCGAAGGTGTCAACACAAATCCACAAAGACAGGCACTCCTGCTCAGTCTGGCTTGTAAGTCCTCCTTGTCCGTCTGCATTTCCCTCGGTCGATGCCCAAAGTCGAGTCGATGAGTTCAATTTCAAAGCCTTTGAAGAGTACGTCCGACAGAACTTGTCCGGTTGGTACCTCTCCGCTGTTTTGAGCACATGCGATGCAGAGCGCGCAGCCCGTACTTTCGGCCCCAATCCATGTTGTCCTGTGAGCACAGGTACGAGTAGCAGTAGCAACTGAACGCCACTTCATAAACGTCCCTGACACACGACCACGGGAAGGCAAACCAATCCCGTGTCCTGATGTCTCTGCTCACGCTCATTTTTAAGCATGCTGCGAAGCTCACCTGCACGAGACGATTGACCAGCAGCAACACGATGCCAACATGAACGCAATGCCATCTGCTTCCAAGAAAGTGACTTTTTGCACACACACACACACACACACCCTGAACGCTGCTTTCGCGTTCACTGAGCAGCGCTTGTAGCAGCGCAGAGCATGGTCATCACCAGCCTTCCTTACGGTCTGCACGCCAAGCAGGCAAAGACAACCACCTTGTGCGACTCAGTAAAACCTACATGTTGTACGACATGAAGAACTGACAGGCGCTGAAGAACACCCCCAGGCGGTCCAATGCCGAGCAGCTGACTGCTTTCGCTTTGCCAAGGTCTCTTGGATCGCTTCCGCAATGTCTTTGTCCCCATGAGCAACCACATGGATGCGTCCGCGATCCTCCGGATTGATCCTGGGCTTTGGCGGCGTGGGACCTGATCGCAATACAAAAACCCCTGAATGGCCGAGGCGCAATGGAGGCATCGGAAGAGGTGAACTCAGCAAAGCCTTCGTGCTGAGAAGAGGCACCTGGTCAGCTTTTCGGTAGCAGGTGGCAGCAGGAATGGCTTCGTCTCTTGCATGAAATCTTTGCAAATTGCGGCTCTGTGACCATGGCAAAGATGCATTCGCGGTATCCTGCGGAAACCGACGAAAGTGCATGTCCAGTTGGTCGCAAATCTCGAAACACCAGTTCCACCCGCATGCTTGGGTCCTGCTTCTATTGCCCGATCCAAGGCCGTCTCGCCACTGTCGTCCCTATGCCCACCTGGATGGGAGACAGGCTTCACTAAGGGACAGCCCTCTGGGCTTTTTGCTACAATTTTGCCTTCTTGCGCTCTGTCTGTCGTGGAGGTATCGTTTCAAGGGACAGATTTCTGAAAAACACGGCTGTACCACCACGTAGCTCTGGCTCCTTGTTGCCTGTGAGAACGAACAAGCGACGACTGGATGCACCCTCTTGGAACTTTGATGCGGAAGTAAAGGGCTTCGGGGCCTTCTGGCATGGCATGGCATGGCATGGCCTTTACGGCACTCAGGCTGAGAAGGCGCTGTGCCTTGCAACTACCTGACCAACAGCCCTTCCGGGTCCTCAATTTAGAGATGCAGTGATGGATTTGTAAACTTTGGCTTCATCAGTGCACTCATGAGTGGCCAACCTGTGAGGCCTGAATAATCATATATAACCCTTGAAGCAGCCGAAATCTAACCGAGCTGAACGGGCGCCGCCTTGTCGGAAGTCTTTCCGAGATAGAATTGCCGTACAAACCTGACGAGAAGGCCGTCAGTGCCATGGCTGAAGGGACTCTGCGGCTGCGTCTGAGGTGCATCCGGCAAGTTTGAAAAGACGGCCCAATGTAGGGCAGTCCAGTTCCTGCGGGGAGGGACGTTTTTCGAGGCTCCTTCGGGACATCTGCTCAGCCCTTGTCGTCCTGCGCTTGTCGATCAGGTTGACGTGCTCGAATTCCGGGCATGCAGCGATGCCAAGGCAGGCGGCTCCCAGTCTCATTGCTGCTGCGATGTGTAGAACACCTAGGCTGTTCGTCGGATCGAATCTACTCTTCACGAGCAGCAAGTATCGGTTCCGAGATACTCTGCTGCGAGGCCTGAGTCAATGCCCATGGCTTCCCGACAACAGCTCCAGCATAACAAACAGGCAGCTTACCAGGTATAACCTGCCGCCCAGCATCTGTATCTACATGGTTTATCAGCTTCTGGTTGTCGGCAAGCTGCAGAAGCGCCAAGCAGCTCCCTCCTCGCGACCAGATTAAGTCTCGCAAGCACGTGAACAAGAGCTGTTTTACCTCTGGCGCTCGGCACAACCAGGCAAGGACACCACACATCTCGTGCAGCCGGACACCTGAAACCCCAAGGTCACAAATATCGTCCTCTGCCTGCTTTGGCCTCACGGCAACGATCGACTGTCGGTCTGTTGACACACCGAAGGGCTTCTCAGCTTGCGCAAGGGGAGATTATGCTGTGCCTGTCAGGGGGTCTCCTGCTGTCATACAGGTACCATGCGAGGCCCTTATGTTGCGAAACTAATGGCCCGGCCCGCGTCACAGCTGTAGCCGTGCTGTAGCCCATAAAACTGGTCCAGGTGGCCGTTTGCAACTGTTACAGCACTCATTGCGTGTTTGCTGACTGTGTTGGCTTGCCAATGCCATTTTGCTTTACGATCGGTTGCTCCACTTTTTAATCCGGCGCTTGCCACCGCAGAGAGAGAGACAGAGCGCGAGCGCGAGCGAGCGAGCGAGAGAAAGGGAGACAAACAGATTCAGAGAAACAGAGAATGAGAGGGGCAGAGGCCGCTAAAAGTCCGCCGCCTTGGCCTTCTGTTTCTCGACGGAACAGCCTTGTCTGTACACTCTCTGTCGACCTAGGGTTCTGTCAGGCAGTTGCTGTCAACGATTTCTGCATCAACAACTTATGAATGTTCTCATTTGCTTGGCGATCTACATCGATGCTGTCGGAATAGGGAACATCCCCAACAAGCTGAAACTAAATATTCGTTTACTTCGGAGCAGGATAGACATTTGGACACGGCACTGGGTACACCCGTCTGCAGATTCTTTCCGATATGGAAACGCCGAGTTTCGCCAGAATCTCCGGATGCAGAAATGATATCAATCCAAGCTCCGAGAACCTCCTGTAGTTTCCCAGTGTCAGCAGGGTGCGAAAGTCTAATAGTTCCCAAGACGCTTGGAAAAAAGACGTCCATGTCAAGATGTTCTGTCTGTCTGTCTGTCTGTCTGTCTGTCCGTCCTGTTATGTCAACATGGTCCGGGACACAGGCCCTGATCTTTGCCGAACCATACACGAAAAGGCTGGACAACATTAAATCATCAATTTCTGAGCTGCTTGAGGGATGGAGAACTTGTCAGAATTGGAGCGACTTGCTTTCAGCATAGCCTCTATTTAAATTGGAACGCCAATGACTGTCAATGTCTACTTGAATGGAGACCAGCTTCAAGAATAAACCATCGGGTGCAAGATTCTGCAGGAGGTTGGCTGTGTTTTTCTAGATTCGCGCAAAGTTCCACAGGCGAGATTCTCAAGAAGTCGGCAGATGTGTGTGGGAGGTTGGGGCAGCTCCCAGGGTATCAGAGCCTCGGGGCATCGGGCATCGCAGCCGGCAATTATTGCCTACTGGCAAGGCTGCCCAGCGGCTCAGCATCCTAGAAACGAGAGCAGCAAAATCTCGAATCATGTAATTTGGCCGACCTGACCCCCCCCCCCCCCCCCCCCNNCCCCCCCCCCCCCCGCCCCGCCCACCCGCAAAAAAAAAGGACTTTGTGCCACCATGCAAGTGTGCAGCGGCGCTGGCTGTTCCTCACTTTAGCAACTGTCTAACTTGCTCGTACTGATTGGAAGGTTGCCTGCTCTCCCTGCATTCGTGAGTGTTATACTGGTCTTGATCGCTGCAAGCTACAATCAGGACTAAGCCGCATCACAACCTAGTACAAGCTTGCTAAGATGGAGGAGGGTCACCTGGCCGGGGCCTCACGACAGCAGTACATAAGTTGGCGACTCGTAGTGTCGTAGTTCATATCGGGCCAACTTCGAACGCGGAATAGGGAGACCACAGGTCAATCAGCTAGACAGACCAGGCCATGAGCTCCTCCCGATTCCATCTCCGAAGGCTGAACCCCGACCTCTTCGTAGAGCGCGCTGGGACGAGCCTCCTGCTTGAGCAAAGTGATGTCCAGTTCAGCCGCTCCCTGATCGGGACATGACACTGCTTACCGCACGTGTGCGCCTTCGAGTCTCTCATGCATACTGGGATTTCTGATGGAGGGACATTAGCACCTGTACCTGCCGCTTCAAGGCTGCAACAACCTTCCACACGCCGGCACCCCCGACGCGCCTCAGGGAGCAGCCCGGCCAAACTGCGAAAGTCTTGGTTTGCATCCTGAAGTGAAGGCATCCTAGGACACGTTGCACCGAACCCACCTTCAGCTTTGAAAGTCCCATTCTCGAGGCGGGGGCAATTAAGGTTATGCTTTGCGGGTTCGCTCAGCATCGGCAGCATTCGGCTTCGTGTCCCGACCCTTCTCTGCTTGTGAGGGGCGCATTGCAAATTTTCAGGCTGGTACTCACAGGGATCAGGAATCGTTTTCGCATGTTCTCAGGAGTATGGTCATTGGGGCAGGTGTGCAAAAACTGTCTAAGTAAGGTTTATAACCTCCACTACCGAGCGCATCTATCGTCACAGCATATTGGCTTGTCTTGATGCTGTCACACTTTGTGGTGCGAATCACGAACAAAACTATTTCTGCAACATCGTTATAGATTTGTTTATCGTTCGTCTTGCCGCCTTCTGAAGCACCCGAGTTGAATTTCGCATCGTGTCTTGACGAATCGTGGTTGCACAACAGCTCGTGAGTTGTCTTGTTGGCAATCAAGTTCTTCTGGTGATTCGTGTCGGGTACAGATCGTGTTGGAGCTGCGATCGAAAATCTGACCGACACATGTTTCAGTCTTGACCGATAATGACATCCTAAGCAAAGTGGCAAGTGCCGGGCGATGCAGTCGAGTTCCAAATTGCAACTAGAGAACCGTTGGCTGCTCTTCCACCCGTCTTGTCATTCCATGGGCTGCAGCAAAAGAAGTAGCCTAAATTAACAACCAGCAACTTCTACGGATTGCAGGCGGACTATCTTTTTCGAAGGTTGCAAAACAGTTACAAGTAATACCGAGCACCTAGCACGCACAGAACAACGCAAAGTGTGGCACTCCAGTGCTCTGTTCGTCAGATGAGTTCGGCCAACGAACTTGAGGTTGACGAGATACTGAAGCGTCGGTACTGCTGACACTTCATTGGAATCCCAGTGGAAACCTCTGGACACAGCCCGATAGTTGTTTCAATTCTGTCATGTGCCTGTTATCAAAGACTTTCTTCACTGAAACTCCGTCCGCCTTCTCCAAGTCCTCGTGCTGCAGTAGGAGGCGTTGCGTGCATCTTGGGCGCCGCAGCGCCGCCTCCACAAGCTCCTGCCCACGACAGGCAAACACAGGGACAAGCGGACGCGCCGTGCAGCACAGCCAACTTAAGACATGGACCTTCAACCTCATCACCGTCCAGCGGCGATCGGCTCGTGGAAGGGTGAGCCTTGATGCACAACTAATATGGAGACAGGTGGAAGCATTTGGTAACTTAGCAAATGCTGCCAAATCACAATGTTTCGCCGGATATCGAAAGCACTCGCACATGTATGGTGCGTGCTGGCACCTGCAAGACTTCTCTGCTTGGCTGTCCTCTGTGTCGGCACCGGGCTGGGCCTGGGTCGGCTCGTGGACGGCGGGCTGCGCAGCTTCAGCTTCTTCTTCTTTGCGGCGCTTGCGCACTGGCGACGTCTCTTCCGGCTCGGAGCTAAGATCTTCTCGGCTCATGGAAACCACAGGACGCCCGGCTCCACAATGCTGCTCTGCCTACATGAGATGCTAGGCTGACTTTGTGCAACCTAGACCTTGCCAAGTCAAAGTGTTGCTGTCAAGAGTGGGACAACGGGCACGACGCTCCTGCCGAGCCAAAACGACCACATGCGCGACAATTGCACATCGGATCTTCGTTCCTTCCGTTGTGGGAGTCGCTCTTTCGTATACTACGGGAACCATGCGCACGTGCAACATGTTCTCATCGGATGTCCCCTTGCCTATTCTCTTCTCCAATGCCAGCTTTTGTTCTCGATTCTTCTGGACAGGTCGCAGTAACCTGATGATGGAATGGATCCAATTTGCTAGCACGAGGGCGACTGCCGGTCGTGCCAGTCATGCTATGCGCTTGCAACATGCGCAGCAGATCGACTGGGGCGCAAGCTGCGCGGGCACGTCCTCGGTCCGATGCGCAACCCGCAAGCCCGGCCCTAAAGCCTAATATCGGGGCAATACGAGGGTGAAGATTTCCCACTCGCCGACTCATTCGCGGTGCCTTCTGCCACACTTGCCACCATCCGCTGACTTCGCGAAAAAGCCTGGGAACAGGCAAAAGCTCGAACCAATCGTCGATTCTTGGCAGAGAGTTGGAGATTTCATGCATTTGCTAAGTTGCTACTGCTGCATGAGTCATGTGCAAGGCACAAGGATGCGGTCTACAAGCTCCGTGATTCAACGTGCTGCCAAAGCCACTCCGCGACAGTCTGCTGCCTCTCCTGTGCCAGCGTCAGCCCGGACGCAGCTGCAAGCCCGTGACCAAGCCCCCTTGCTCATGTCAACTTACCGTTACCATCAGGTGTAGTTGCAGCCAGACTGCGGCCAAAGTGTTCACGATTCTTGTGAGTAGTCCAACGAGATCAACTCTTCTAAGTACACGGGAATCATCTCCCAAAACACACACGGCCCTTTCCCTAAACTCTGGCTTCGTGCGAAGCTCCTGCAGATCCTTGCCCAGTTGGCCCACGCCGCTTCGCAGCTTCACGGAGCCGTACTCGAGCTTCCTTGGGCTTTCAGTCCGGTCTCGGGGCTTCTATGGCCTCCTAGGTCCTCGGCCTCCCCGTTTGCGGAAGGGCTGTAGGAGTTACATCTCAGGAATGCACTGCAGCTTCTCGCTCAGGCGCTGCTGCACCTTTCAGCTCGCTAGCATGGTGAAAGCCGAGGTGGAGGACTTATCTGCTATTCGTCCAAACTCGAACGAACTCTTCCTCCGCCCCCTCTGACACCGCCTGCCATTGACGCTCAGTGCTGCTGTCCCGGATTGACACGACCTGGCTCGGCATGTCTGTTAACGCTTAGATACATGGCACGTCATGGCACAGCGGCCTGCTGCTGCAGATTTTGACGGGCCGTCTCGCGCTGGGCCTCGTGCCTTTGTACAGGAAAGGAAACCCTGCGGGCCCGAAGCGCCCGAGTGCCCGAGTCGCCTCCTGGCAGCTGCCTCGAGGCGCTCCTCGAAGACTTCATCTAAGGCTCCAAGGTTCGTCGGTCTACGTCTCACAGTTAAACTGGTACATGCAAGCGTCCTCATCCGCAACTCGCTGCTGCATCATGTGTGCAATCTCTGCAGATTGTCCACCTTGCACAGGACGAGGTGCAAAGCATTTGGTGGCCTATGGTGGTCCTTGGTCCGCCAAGGGGCGGATCTGCTCTAACAAGCGCTTGTTCGCTGCCTGTCTGCTGAATATTCATGAACGTACGACGCACACACTACAGTAACTCTACTCAACTGTGGGCCTTGACCCCACCCATAGACTCAACCAGCTTCTCATTGGACTCTGCCTGCTGGACCTCAGAATCAAACCCAAGTGACACTGACTCTGACTTCACAAAGCTCGAACGGCAACAGACCTTGAGAATGCCAGGCCATGGCATTGACACCTTTTGCAACTCCAGGAGAGCTTCGACAATGGCTCGATGAATGTGAAAGACATCTGCACAAACGTGACTGAAACGACCGAAGGATAGAAGGACCTTCAAATCCTGCGTGGCTGGAAGGCTCGGGAAAGCTCTGCTTTCGAGACTCTGTTCGTGGACCGCCATTGGGCTGCCACACCCCAGCCAGAACAAGGATCTTATCGAATGACTTATCCGACACTTTGCACTGTACAAGTTGGCTTGCATTTTTGTGGTCAGAATTCGACTCGACAGCCCCGACACTCATATACAGCTTACGCGGGCTTCAGTAGCGTTCATGTGAGACGCTGACTGAACCAGAGCTGGCCTGAGTTGCGATGCCGGGCCGGGCATGAATGGAGTGTAGAATTACGAAGTGCATTGCAGCATGCTCACATGCACCTCTGAGGACGTGGCCTGCTGCGTGCGGATCCGCTGCATCTGTGTAGTAGGTGCAGTCGTGGCAGCTCGTGGCACGAGCGCAGGGGGCTCCAAGCACAAAGCTTGGATAGCGATAAAGTGTCGGCGATGTACTTCATCGTCTGAAAGAAGCTGTGTCTGTTGAAAGAAGCGGCCGCGAGGCATGGTGTCCTCTGGGAAATGCCAAGACATCAACGTGATCAGAGCTGCTTGAAGGTGATGGTTCTAAAAGAAATGTCGGCAGCTAATCATCTGGCGAAGAAAGGAACCAGCCTACACTTGACGAAATTTTCACACAGCAGCCTGTAAGGATACCGTGACGATCTCGTGATAAACTAATGGGCTGTCGTACAAGCATATCTGCAGCAATTTTCGCACATCAGGCCTGATTGCTGACGGTTCCCATTGCAACAAGGCTGGCTGTTGGCCAAATTGTGTTGCACCCAGTTCAGATGATCTTTTCTGCCCTGAAATGCTGGAAAGATCTGCGGAAAGGGAAGTGCAAACGGATAGACGTCATGCCATGGAAAGCGCGGCCAGCCCCCCTGCCTTGCCCGTTGCTTGATAATCTCGGCAACTGGGAGAGGCACCATCTCACGGTTGAGACTGTCGCACTGCCGCTGCGTCTCCTTCAGAGACTGCGAAAGCACCTGAAAGGATACAGCAACTGAGCAAAAGCACATGAGGCCAAAAGCAGTTAGCCGACTTGAGGCAAGATGCCGCATGGTTGCTGCGCATGGATGAAGGCAGAAGAGCTCCACCCTGCAGGCAAACTATGCCCCGTCTCCGACCCATCCTTAAAACATTTGAAGCCGTGCCTGCGAGACGTCTGATAAGTCAATCGTGGATGCCTGGACTGGTCCGCTTCCAAACGATACAAGCATTAAGATCCCCACGTAGTGTGCTTGCACCGACACTCACACTGCGCGTGCTACTGCAGCATGTGCTGCTAATAGCACAAACAGCCATGACAGTTTCAGTCATAGTTTTCGGAACATGCATCACACCTGTCATGGCAATCATCGTCGGCCAGGTGGCGATGGCATTCATAGCAGAAGTGGCAATAAAAGCTGAGGTAAATGAAGTAGAAATCGTAGAAATATGACTGGAACTAAACAGCGGGAACGTAGAGAATGCAATGTTGTGCAGAATTTGTTGTTCATGATTTTATGTTTCGTTGAATGGTGCTTTGGTGGGGTCGGTTTGGTTGCTTGAGTCTTGGGTCCAAGACCCGTTTGCTATAACGCAGGAAAAGCTGTAAAAGCAAATGCACCCACCACCACCAACAGAAACAACAACACCAGCAGCACCAGCAGCAGCAGCAGCAGCAGCAGCAGCAGCAGTGGCATCGGCAACAACGACAACAACAGCGACGACCACAACCACAGCGAGGAAAGCCACCACAACCAGCTTAATAATCACAAATATGTCGCGAGAACTATGGCACGACTGACCACTCTTGCAACAGTATCTCCAGCATTGTCCATAAAACTAGGCATACTAATGGAAATGACACCAGTAATCATGATGTTCATGTAATGGTGAAATTTACGGTTAGGCTGTAAAGGCTGTAATTATTAAGAGCAACCAACAACATTACGGATGACAAAACCAGTAGCAATAATAACACTAGTGACGATACTCTACATACAAGTCATATTGACAGTGTGCAGGAAATACGCTGCATTGCACCACAAAAGCTTCGCAAGATGCTTGAAGTGGCGGGCATCTTTGTTGTAATTAGTTAGACCGCATGCAGGCAAACCAGTGCGAAATGTTCCAGGAAGGCCGGTGAAATCTCAGGTAGAGAAATCATCCCGATCAGAAAAAACATGCTAGAACAAATTCGAGTGAAGCTTCTGGGATGGCTTTTGAAGATGCAGTGAGCTGCGTGGAGCGCAGAGCTCTGGACTTTTGATAAGACTGCTAGTAATCACTGACTATTTGCTACTGTAGTAGTTTCATTGGAAAGATGAATAGGAACAATAGAATGATGATGCTCATAAGTGTCTCATGACTCATGCCAAATGAAAAATGGTCAGTAACCTGAGAACCATGACCGACGACGGCATCGTACTTATTATCATCGCCATCGTCATCGTGTCGTCATCATCATCCTTGTCCAAATCTTCATAATTTGATGCTGTGCCTCGGCTTCCAGGTCTCGAACCACCTCTTTGGCGCGGCTGATTGCCACTTCTCCTGTCCAACCGCATGAGTCCGCGGACAGTCCATTCAAGCCCTCACCGGCTGAAGTCAAGCAATGTTTTGCTGTCGTCAGCAGCAGATCATGGTTCGTCGTACTTCTTGCAGTGCTCACGAGTTGAAACGTAAGAGCACAGTCAAGCAGTTGGATTCACGGCATTCTCCGGTTTGCCCTGACATCTCGTTCCGTACAAGGGCTGCCCTGTCGCAGTGTGGTCTCTTCTTCTGGCTGGCGTTGACAAGCTCATGACAAATTTCACAGAGACAATACAGCAATGCGATGCACTGCGGATACTGCAGCTTCCAGCCTCCGCCCGGAGGTCGAGCAAGCAGCAACACAAGGCGCTGGCGGTGAACCTCCACCTTGGCGTCAGCAAATCCAACGTCAGCTTCCGTTCACACTGGAGCTCTTGTGACACTGGCAGTGTCTGAGGTCTGCGACCGTTGCGTGCAGGCGCTGGAGGACTGTTCTCGCTGCATCTCGTTCTGCATCCTCCTGCTGGCAACGATACGTGGTTCGAAATACTTGTCAAAGCTTCTGGGATAACACGTGGTCTCTGTTTCTGCGCTTACTTGCCCAATGCCTGCGAAAGCCATCTTTGTAGCTGGTGAGTCGCCTGGCGCTCGGTGGCTAGCTTTTGGGGGCTTCCGAACGGCTGGCACACGGTTGCAAAGGCAGCTTTAGCAATGACCTTGATTGCCCATTGACTTCCTCTCTCGGCTTCCATGGGTCGCAAGTAACGCATGTCGTCTGTTTCAGGAACATGTTCGGTCCCTAGACCGGGTCGACCCATCGAAATGGAAATGGGTGCCGAAGCTGCAGTTGCCCATGCCACACTCATGACAACAATCTGAGCTTAAGAAACAAGTTTGTCTTGGGATGTCACGGCCTCCTCCGATTGCGCCTGGCTCAAAGCGAAAACCGGCAGCCCTCGACTGCTCAAGCATCGAATATCAAGCAAGACATATGTCTGCGTACTGGCATCCTATGCATAGCCAAAAAGAGGTGCCTGGCCAAGGATTCCTGAGCTTCTGCCGGCCATCACAGCCTGAAAGCAAGGTCGGCGCCCTTTCGGAAAGCAAAAGCGACTGTCACCTCTGCAGCCTCAAGCTGGCCATTCTGGGAAGCACCCCCAAACGCCCCCGTATTGCAGGGACTTCAGAGTTCGACTGCTGTACTGATGAGAGGCCGCTAAGGCAGCTGCGACTCTCGCATTAGCCTCCCAGTGTTCTCGGCATGTCAAGTGTGTTGAAGCTAACTTTGAGCCTCAAGTGCCATCCGAGTGTTGCAAATGAGCCACTCTACCCATGCACGACCTGAAAACTCACCCCGTCCAACATGTGGCAGGCAGTTGTGGCAAATCTGATGTTTTGCGATGCGGCCACGCTGCGAAATCCATGCTGGCGCTGTCTCAAAACGGATGCGCTCGCAGGCGTACGTGGGGTAAACTTACCATCACAGAGCCCACACAGCGACAGTGGAACACGGCTGGAACCGTTCGCCCGCTGCCTGATCAACACACCCTAGCTAGAGCTAAGGCTTTCATCGCCTGGTTTCGGGATTCTTCCCAACACAGGCGGGCCAAGCCACAAAAAGTTGGAGAGAGAGAGAGAGAGAGAATCAAAGAGTTCCGTCAAACTTGCCGTCCATTTACCCCGAAGTATTGTCTCCCCAGCAGCATGCGCATGCAACACGAGTGATCTGTCGCTTGTTCGCTTCTACTAGTCCCTGTTTCCATATTTGCTGTGTTCAAAGTTTCCGCCAACAAATTTCGTCGACGACGAGGCTCATGAGGTACTGACCTGTGCGACTTCGATCCCCGCAGCCGACATGGCAGCATGGCAACGCAGCTCCCAGCCTCGACGCAGCTTACTCTTCTCCTCGGCGCTTCGAGCCGAGGTGACCGGTGTGGCAGGGCAGGACTCGCATACGGTGCCCGGTGCCCCCAATTCCGCCTCGGCCAAGGCCTCGCTGCCCAGCAAAACCGGCAAAGGCCGAGCGGCCGGGCCGAGGCCTCGAAGAGACGAAGACGCGACGCCACGTCCCTCTACCTCCACTCTTCATCTCAGACCTGTCTAACATTGTTTGTAGAGTTCCTGATGTCAGTCGGGGGCTTTGTGTGGCCTGTGCTGCTTTTCGTCTGTGACTCTGTGTAAACATCTGCTCTCCAGGCTCGCGTGAACGGGGAAAGGGGCAAGGTCGCTCACCGCTCGCTCCAAATGCCAGAATCAAGGCCGCTGCTGATTCGCGGCACTCGCTGCCTGGGCTGTGACTCGAGTCTCCAGGCATGAAGCTTCGTCGGCCGTGAGGCCGAGTCTGGGACCCCGACCCCGCCAAAACCACCAGCCTGCACACCCGGTCTTCCCGCTGCCGGCACACCTTGATTCGCGCCAAAACCACCTGCTGGCACTCCGGACTTGCCGAAGCCACCGGCAGGGACACCTCTGGCGCCTCCATATCCAGAGTTGCTACCTCCCATGCCGCTGTAGCGTGAGCCGCTGGACTCACCATAACCAGACGATCGCCCACCAAAGCCGGCACTTCTGCTGCCGCTGCTGGCACTTGGGGCCGAGTGGCCTCCAAGGCCATTGCTTGTCGCAGTGTAGCTGTTGCTGCTGTTGCTGTACCCCGAGGTGCCGTTTGGAGTCCTGGCCATGTCACTGGCACTTGAGCCTTGACTGCCTTGACTCTTGCTGAAGGCACCACGAAGCCCATCGGAGAAGCCTTTGGCCATCTTCTCGCTGGCGGCACTTCGCGTGGCTGCTTGGGATGCTTGGGCTTGGCTGACCTGTGTAGACTCGCTGCTGCCAAAACCACCTGCCGGGACTCCGCGGAAGCCGCCCGATGGAACTCCTCGACAAAAACAAAAATTGCGAACCGCCAGGGATCTGCGACAAGCACTCTAAGAACTCTGAGCTTGCTGCCGTCTTGCTGGGCACGGGATGCCTGCCTCCTCACAGCTTAAAACCCGTCTCAAGCACTGTGGTCCGTTTGAAGTACAGCCGCGTTCTGTTGCCGAGGCACTCCGGCAGCAAAGAGTTGTAGCCTTGTCCAGCCTGAGCTTGGACTGGACCCCGCCCCGTGCTTTTAGCCCTTGCTCCCGGGGGCCCGCTCCCCTTGGGCTGCATTTGCTCGGCCCATGGGTTGCGACGGGCGCCTGGAGCTTCGACTCTACGACTCTGTCACATGATCCAAACTCATCGCTGTGAACATGTGAGCATCTGAAGGTTCTGTGAACTGTTGATATGCAGGCTGCATGTCAACTTTGGAGTCGCACCTATCTCGTTCCATCTCTTGCTTCATCTCCCGCATGATCTGCCCACATGAGTCACATGAGCAAAGCAACTCCACTTGACAATCACGTCTTAACACAATTGACAAGCAAGCGGCACGTACCTGATCGCACACCTCGATATTTTCGTGCATGCGGGACTTCTCAAAGATTGCTCGGGCTTCCTGACACGCCACGGAGCTTCATCCGGCACGACCACGAATTGAACACCAGCTGCTCGCCAAAATACACTTCATTGGCGACCGAGGTTGGAACCAAGTTTGCCCTCTCTGCTTCGTCCCAATTTCGGCAAAGAAAATGGCCCTGCCGTTGTGATCAACACGAGCTGCGAATATTTGCAAACCTTGCGGTCTTTTGTGCTGCACGGTGCTCTGCGATGCGCGTCCCGGACCCCCAGAGGCCTGACACAAGGACACCAAGGCACTGCCCAGGTTTTCCTTCTGCTCGGTTGACTGCGCGAGCTCCTCACAAGTCTTCCACACGGGTCGTTTCATGCAGCACGAGTAGCACGAGTAGCAAGACAACGACAAAAGGTCCATGTACTCTCTGGCATATCGAAGCGAGTTCGGACCATCTTGGCCTCAGCACACATCACCACTTTGCTACACATTGGACGAGATTTTCAACAGCGAAAGCTTTTCCAAGTCTGGGCTGCGCTCTGAGGAGGTGAGCATGGAAAATGCGCTGGATGCCAGTGATCTTTCCACGCACAAGCTGAAACATGAGTATGAGGAACTCACACTTCAATGATTATGTCACTTGCCTCGCCGTTTCGGTCGCCAAGTTTCCGATGCAAAGCCAATGCTTCCTCGGCAGCCTGCGGCAAGCTGCGGCCGACCAACCATTCTCTGCCGCCCCCCCNNCCCCCCCCCCCCCCCCCCCCTCACAGGAAAAAACGAGAACTAGAGCTAAAACCTTCTGAAACGAAAGCTCTCGTGCCGAGTCTCCTTCATGGCTTCCTTTAGCCCGCGCGGTCGACTCCGCGCTCCAGGGTTGTTCACCTGGGAAGGCAGGGCCGCAGGGCCGCTGGCAGCCCGTCGAGAGCTCGGGAAGCTCGGGCGGGTGCGTCGTAGTGGGCGACTTGCAGCTGCACATTTGCCATGCCTGAAGCTGGCGAAGCTAGCTGGGTTCGTGTGGCTATGGGTTTGGAGGGATGCTGAGTGAGAGGGCAAGCTAGAGCGGCTGCACGAGCCGTATCTTCCTTTACCGGAGCCTTCGCTTCAGTGCAAGACCAGGGCGACGCTGAGCAGCCTTGCGAAAGCCTCCTGCCTTCTCGACCATCTGTAACGCCTCCTTGGCGGCATCGATGCCCTCATTGAACCTGACGAAAACAAGGATCACGGAAAAATGCGTTTTGGCGACTCGTGTCTGGTGCGAGCCTGTCGGCGGAGGAATAGGCCTCGCCCACTGCCTCTGCTCTGCCCAATGCAACGAATCACCTCAAACGAACCTGAACCTGTGCTTGAATGTGCTTGAATTCCGCATCCCCACCCCCTTCCAGTGTGTCCTGCAGCGCAGAGATGAGCACCTTTTCATCCCCAGACTTCCGGGCCAGTTCCTGCACCAGCTAGCGTGAGTGACTTCATGAGATCGGCTTGAAGCCAAGTGGCCTCGGCTTGTTTCGCCGCCTGCATGGCGTTGGTGTTGGCTTTGAGTCCCAAGTGCCTGTGCCCAATACAACATGCAGCGTGTGCCTTCTGACCTCGTGCGACCAGCCGGAAGAATGCGACCGTGAGAAGCAAAAACCCACTCCACGACAGGAGCTCGAAGACAGGGACGAGGTGGACTGGAGCTTGCAGCAGTGATGTCAAGGCTGCTCGGGTCGTGGCATTTGCGCCACTTGAGCAAGAGCACGTGCTTGTCCAGCAAGATCACCCGCAGTCTGAGCATGCACCACACTAGTTGGTGAGATGGGTTGACATGGGCGACACAATGCCAAGCTGCGGTGCAACCACTGGGTGCCCGGCACTGAACATAGAGGCCTCCGTGTTTCTGCGCAACCATGATTCAAGATGGCGCACATTGCATGAACCGTAGGCGGCCGGCTGCATCTTTGGCGAGGCGCAAGGCGTCCCGTGGTCCCATGGTCTGCTGCGTCCTTGTGCAGGCACCAATGAGGCATGGATAACGTCGTTTCAAACCACGTGACTGCCTCTGCAGTCCGCAGGTGCAGGGGTGCGGTTGGAAATCGGGTCTATACTGTGTCCTGGAACTCTAGAACTGTCAAAACAGTCTGCATGTCACACCAATTTCGGGTTGTAGACTTGAGTAGAGAAAGAAGACACGGAGGAAGCGCTGAGCATGGAGAGACGGTGGTGAGATCCGAGTACAATCCACCCATCATGAACAGAAGTCCTCGCAAAAAAAGCGTTGCGTTGCTTCAGCATGCTTCAACTGGGTTGTCATTAACCTTCGCCCCCTTGCTTGGCCATGCTTCCCCTCTTCTAGCTGTCAGGAGCCTGGGCATGGACCTTCACCCCATCCCTCTTCTTTGAAAATTATTGTGCCAGCTGTCTTGCCCTTCGAGCTCCGCACATCTCTGCGAGACCCAGCGTTGCTGAGGCCTCTCCGGTTCAGACCCCGGACACTTCAAAACGACAAGGACCAACAGCCGTTCTTTGCCCGCCTCCTCTTCCTTGAATCCTGCCTCCCTGAAGAGCTTGACCTGGTCACGGGCCTGAGTGTGTGAAGCGACAGTCCGGAAAGAGCCTGGCAGCTAAGCCAACACGACCCCGGTGCTTCAATGCCTGAGGGTCAGGCTGCCTGAATTGCAGCATGAGGGTCCCCGGCCTGCAGTGTGGGCGGCTGCTAGATTCTAGACTCTGAGAGAGAGATTCTACTAGACTCTGAGAGAGAAAGTCTAGCGAGGTCTCTTCTTGGCGCTCGCGGCACCTGCCTCCAGATGGAGGCTGGTGAGGATCTGCAGGACGCCCACGCAGCCCTCCGCAAGCACGGCGTCTCGCTTCTCTGTGCCGTGCAGCCGCCGAGCCGTGCCTTCATGTCACCAGCTTCCTTGAAGAGACGCTGCGCCTTAGCAGAACTAGTCTGAGTGGGCGAGACTCTCCGGAGTCACGAAGTTTCAGAAGACCAGCTCCACCCTATTAAAGATTGCCTATCCAAGCCCCGGCTCCGTCTTCGGGTCTGCTTCCCTGCTTAGTACCTTTCTGTGGGAGCATCGGGAAATGCTGTCCTCCCAAGCGATGGAGCTCGAATGTGGAGTTGGGGGAAGCATGAATCCGTCGAGGCCACAAGCCTCAGGCGTTTGGGGGACTCGTTTTTGGCCCACAAGTTCGACCCCCCGCCCCCGGCCCCTCCCCCTCCCCCTCACCTTTCTGTCTTCTGGTTGCCGTTCCCCCCCCCCCTCCCTCCTACCGGGTTGTGTCACAGCCGAGGCGGGCGGCGCAGCGTTGAATTTTTTTCACGCATGAGGGATGCTAGTCAACCCCACCCCCAGATGCGCAGTGCTTGCCTGAGCGAGACAGCCGAGATGCCTCTTTTGCGGTGCGTGATGCCTCCATTGCGCGTCTGGCCTGCCAGCAGATTGGAAAAGTGTGCTGCGGCATGACCGGTATGCAGAACTTCGCAGGTTGGTGGACAAGGGCACCGCGAGCACGTCCAGATTCCAAGCGGTCTAACCTTCCTCAAGAGCAAACGTTCTCCCGCCTGGCACTGAAGCTCGACAAGAAGCTGTGTTGCCTTCAGCGCGCTTAGCGGCTTAGCACGCTTGAGAAGTGACTCTGACATGGAGAATTCTCATTTCAAAGGGCAAAGGGCAGACATGCACAAATCTTTGTAGGACCGGCCTTCGCTTCACCCTTCAGGTCGCCCATCTGTTCAAAGCACATGAGAGCGTGGGTACAGACAAATCCCCAAATTGGCCCCGGTCGCCTCCTTCAACCTCTCGGCAGCTTCGGTAGCTCTCCGGAGGGCGTCCCGAGGCCGATCCTCGGGAAAACGAGTCGCTGCAGGCCCTTGACCCGCTTGGCCCTTGCGTTCTGGGGTGACCGCTTGAGAGATCATGGCCTGCGCCATCTTCAGTTGCGCATAAGCCTCAGGACTCAGGCGGGCTTGGACCCGGTGCGACAGCCCGCTGGCCCGCTGCGGCCCGCTGCGCCTCACGACGTCGGTCTCCAACTTTCTTTGCCATCATCAGCTCCTGGATCACTGACAAGGCACCTTCTTGGACGGATGTCATGCTGGCTCGAGCGGAGCAATGCTGGACCTCCTCCGCAATGGAAGCAGCTTTCTCCTGCAGCGGCCACTGCACTTTTTGGCTTCAAGCCTTCACTGATGAGGCCCGAAGTCCTCTTCACCGTTGGCCTGCATCAAAGCCTCGAGAAGCGAAGCGGCTCATGCAACAAGACAGAAAATGTGGTGCACACAGCATTGGGCCAGCGCCTGAAGGGCAGTGCCAATGACCTCCACATCCCGGACCTCCCGCGCCAGAGTCAATGCTTGCCTCCCAGCCTTGCAAGCATTGGCTGATGCCACAAAATGCCCTCCTAAGCGCTGGGGGCCAACTTTGCACAAGGAACAACTTCTCAACTCTAGCCCAAGAACTTCGCTGACTTGACAATCACCGCATCATGACATATCCCGACGACACAGGTGTCCCAAGTTCACCATCGGGCTCTACCCTAGGCATCCTGATGGGAATGACCCCATCACGACTTGCAAAAACCTGTAACTTGCATTGCCATCGCCTTGATAGCATCAAGCTTCTGCCCTGCTGCAGCGTGAGCCTGATGCTCGTGAGGCATGGGCGCATGGTTTGTACAAAGCCAATGCGGACACACACACACACACAAACACGCTCACTCCGCAGACGTAGACAGAGACACAAAGAGACGGATGCCGACAGAGACGAATGCGCCATTCTGCACGCGCACATCCTTCACAGCACAGGCCCCGGCCAAACAGGCACAATGCCAGGCGAGAGCCTCTTTAAGCAGAAATGGCTTTGCAGCTTCAAATTTCAAACTGCCCTGCAGAGTAGACCGCCTCCGTCTTGCTGTCACAAGCTTCCTTCGCCAACGCCACGGCATTGAGTGCTGCCTTTCGGGTTGCCGCCTGCGGATGGCGACGAATGTGCGCGCTCAAATGCTCCAGATCAAGCAAGAGAACAAAACTTCTGCCGCTGCACCTGAGCTTTCATGCTGTGATAGGCCTTGGCCTCTTCACCTCAAGAAAAGAAATCTGCACAAATCCAGCAAAATCTCACAAATAAGCCCTGGGATTTCTGAGTTCTGAGGAACCAGACAGGCAGCAAGGGCCGCTCCTTTGGGATCGCCCATTCGTTCACGCAGCTTACATGCCTGCACAGGTGTTTACATGGGCTCTGACGCTGCCTTCAAGCTCGTTTGCATCCAGGCCTCTTGTGCAGGCTGAACAGCTTGGGCACCCTAGCAGGCAAGGCCACGCGGAAATCTGTCGAGATTTCTGCCCCTGCCCTGAATCCCATGATCAGGGCAACTATCCATGAATTGGTGCACGATCTCGCCTCGGTCGCAGCATTACGAGCCTGGCCGGAGCGAGAAGAGTTCATTAGCCGGCGCTTTCTCCCTCCTCACCTTTGGGGTATTTCACCCGGCCTTTGCACAAGCCAGGAGGGCAGCCGAAAGCTCACGTGCCTTGGAGACATTTACCAGACTGCAGCGCAACGGGCGCAGCGGTTCTGCTCTGAACAATGACAAGTGTACCCGCAATATCCCAGAGTCGAATGGTTCCACTTGGACATTTCTCCGCACACGCTCGCTGCCAGCTGACAGCCGTCCGCTCAGGAATCGACGGCCTCCAATTCGCAGTGAGGGTTCCAAGCTGACTGCGACAATGCACTGACTTATCCCTTACCCGAAGCTCAACAGCAAGATCGTTACCACTCGCATCGGATCATCATGCAGCCCAAGGCACCAATGAACTCCGAAAGCCCGACTGGACCTGGCAGAAAGGGCCCTTTGAATGTTGTTGTTCTTGAACGTCCGGACAGAAAACTGCAGCTTTTTAACGAGTTTGCATGGGCTATTGATATGTCTTGTCGAGCAGGTCCAGATGGCAGCGTCTTGCAACTTGTTCCTTAACGAAAAGACGGTGCAAACAGTACCCTTGCTCAACTTTCGTGTGTGTGGTGCCAACAAACCCCCTTACCTGACAGTTCTGCAAATTTCATTGGCTTTGGACCAGTGAAAGCTTAAGGACCGCTATTGGAGCTGAACTTCTGAACTATGCGCACCCGCCTTTTGCCGTGCCGCCAAGCGCTGCCCCAGGCTGGGTTGGCTTCGGCGCAGGGGCCTTTCGACAAACGGCCCCGTGGAAAAGTGTTGGATGAAGTGCGTACTCAGTTGTGCTCCTCACATGCTCTTCGCCTCGTCCGGATCTGGTCCAGGAGGACGTCACGAAAAGGTGATGGTGATGACCAGCTGCCAACCCGGGAGAACATGTCGGGGCCGACAAAAGGCCAATTGGTGTGCCGGAGGCTTGCAGATCGCGCAAGGCCAACAGCGAGCCAGGTTGCCACCACCACAGCAGCAAGAAGCCCATAAACAGTCTGCAGATGCGTTCGGCGAAGTCCGGCAGAAAGGTCCGCTTTTTTGAGGTCGGGCGATTCTAGGAGGAACACATCCTCAGAGGAGGAAAGGACAGGTGACTCCACCGCCCTGTTGAACAGTGTCGCAGGGAAGTCAAGCACAAAGAGCCTGACAGCAACCGCATCTCGTCAAAGTATCCCCGGCCATGCCAAGATGAAAACAAAGACGAGAAGAACCCTGATAGCACGTCAGCCGGGCAGCAACATCCAGATCCAAGTCAGGAAGCGGTCTCCGTTGAGTGTGATCAAGAACAAATTCCCCAAGTGAAAGCTCACCGCCGTACAAATCATTGGCGCTCGAAGTGACCTGGTGATACGGCGATGCTTGCAATGTTCTGGCGTGGGCTTGTGCGGCTTGTGGAACTCAGTGTTCAAGCACGGCTGCCAAGCCACGGGAGGAACAGAGCAAGAGGGCAAGTCAGTTCAAAAAGGAGACCGCAAGTGCAAAGTACCTCAAGTTTCATTCTCAAACAGCGCCCAGTGATTTTCGTAATGCGGGCATCGGATCACCCCTCGAAGAGCTAAAGTAATCGGGCCACCGGCCATGCATGGACTCGACACAGTACCTTATCCACAGGGTCGGGACATGCCCGGACTCCGCCAGATTCGTGTACCCAAACCAACAGCCTGGCTGCTGAAAAGAGCTGCCTGCTCCACGCTTGCTCCTTACGAGCACAGAACTCAAACACGAAATGCTCTCGGATCAATGCCGACAAGAGGCACTCATGTAAAGACTCCTTGGCGTCTGGAAACGGAGGCGTGGGCGGGCATAGGCCCCTCGTCTTGCCGATTTAGACCGAGTGTCGCATAATACTCCAAGACACTTCCGTCCATCCAACTGAACCCGGCAGCGCTCAACTTGTAGCACCCACCGAGGAAGTACGATAAGCAGAGCCTGGCCATCTCAAGGAAGATTCAACCCCACATGCTGGGATCGGTGATGACTGCGCGATGACGGCGCACGGCAGCAAGGGTCGCGCAATGCACTCAGCATCCGTAGAGGGATCCGCGAAGAAGCGTTCTGGCCAACTGTGGCCGGGCAAAGCCCAAAGCGCAAAGGACTCTGCTTGCCTGGCTTCGTACCCCAGACAAACACTTTCGGAGCATCGGGTGGGTCGCATCTGGTCGCAAATCTCCACGACGATGGCATGCCGTCTTGCCTGTATGCCTCTGCTGGCCGCGGGCCTGTGTGGCTGTTCCTTGCGGAACTCTAATCTAGGACTCTAAGATTGAGTGAAGGGGGCAATGATGGCTGTGGGGCGCCCTGAGAAGCCAGGAGGGATCAGCGCCTCAGGCACTGGCACGCGGCGTGAGCTCGTCTTTACTCGCTCGCAAAACAGCGCTCTAATTGCACGATACCACGTATATTGTTTTTGTTTATCTCAATGTAAATATATAAAGGCATATACACGTACACACACACACACACATTTGGCTGGAGTTTTGCCTTAGCTTGCCGCACATGACATGCCTGGACATGCCTCGTGTGGAATTCCCCACGACACCCCGGGACAAGCCTCGCGCGGAATTATGCCTGGGCTTGCCGCATGCCAGGACCCTGCCAGCCTGAACCCGAAGCTTGCCACATGTCCTCTCAGCCTGCCGCATTCCAGCCGGGTGACACTGAGGGGAACACACGCGAGTGCTGAGAGAACGGTGTGCGGGGACGTCGCATCAACTCACTAATCCCTGGACTCTGTCCCCCTCGCGTGGACTCAGCCGTCTGTCAGCCGCGCGTAGCAGGAGACCAGACCAGACCCCAACTTCTGCATTGCCGTGTAAAGTTTATTGCCCCTCGAAGTGGAATGCAGCCCGGGCACACTGCCAACAGCAGCTTTTTGCTCCAACGACCAGCCCAGCTGGAGCCCTCGGAGGCGCGGCCCCCATCTGCCAGCTGTGCGAACGCGATGACCAGCATGGCCTTGTCAACTCACGGGGGTGTGCGAACAAACAATTAAAAGAAGGACTCACTGCACGACAAGGTGCCCAAGCAGACACCAGCGGATCTGTCAAGCGGGCGGAGTAGCCCTGGAAGTAGAAGTTGAGGATTGCTGCCTTCATGGTAGAAACCTTGACTCGATCCGGCATCGACCCCACGAACCCCAGTCATAGGCCTCTCAAGTATTGAATGCTGCGATCTCAGGAGCAGATGCCATGACTCGAAGCGGGCGGCTTGCTTGCTCTCCACGAACATGCACACAAAGTAGAAGTATGATGGCTATCAGCCAGGACAGTAGGAGGAAAGTCTGCATCCGTCTCAGCCAGTGCAGAATCGATGCCTCGCGCAATTCAGGCATGGCTCGGGGTTCTTGATTGGGTCCATCAGCAGATCTGGAGTGAAAGGCGATTGAGCAAAGGTTCGACAACATGCCCACGGCATGTCACAACCCCAATACCAAAATCAATCTGGAAGGTAATTACTCCTAACCCCTGCATCTGATGAGGCGTTTGAAAGCCTTCGGAAATTGCTGCGTTCCAGCTGAGCTGCAGTGGCTTCAGGAATGCTGTTAGGCTCACCCGACATGTTAAAAGAGAGCAGGAACGGCATCAAGACTGCTGGATGCACGTTGGCCTCACGTGACCTGCGCTCGATCTTGACACACTAGCACACCAGCAAGAATTCGTGGGTGTTCATGCACGAGTGGTCCGGTAGCAGCAGCCACTCAGTCCACGGCATTCTCGATGCGAGGTGCTCGGGAAACTCATGCAGGCCACCCTCTCTATCCTCCAGGGCCACTTCCCCGGAGCTTCCGGTCAGGTCGTGCCAGAAAGCACTCAGGCCTGTGACATCAGCCAGTCAGTGTCAAACAGAACACTCGCTTCAGTCCCCCAGCGAGAGCGACTTTCTAAATCCTCCCACCNNCCCCCCCCCCCCCCCCCCCGCAACACTCAAACAAAGATGCCGAAATGCAAGAGGGTTCTGTCTGCTGCTATAGCCACCTGGAACGAGCTCAAAAGACGCGATCACAGGCCACGACATGGTGCTTACGTTATTGGCAGGGCAACCGTCTTCCGGGGCAGCAAATAGAACTCTTGCAACACAGTTTACCACACTTGCCCAGAGGGTGAAGGACAGGAAACCACAGAGTACTTAGCCGATGCCCCTTGCAAGAAAGTGCGAAGCGGCATGAAGCATGTCCACTTATGAAGCGCAGATCTCTCAATGGTAGTAGATCGGAATTCGAACCCATCCTGTTGCGGCAGCCTATTGAAGAACGGATTGTCCTAACTATGTCGTCTTTCGTTCTGACCAAAGTGGTCCAAGCCAGAACGGAGGATCTGTAGCCTGGCAACGCAGACTGTGTGGAGTGGACCAGCCTCCTTGCCACAGATAGGCGTGAACCAGGAAGGCAAGCAGCAGCAATGTCCGGCTCCTGACACACCGGTTCGCTTCATAGTGCTCATGGGATCGACTCAACCATTGACACGATTCCAAGCAAGCATCAATGCAGGCTGCGTCTGTGGAGGTAAATCGCACCACCACTCGGCGACGTGGCGCAGAAGCTCTGATGGCAAAGAGAGAAGCCGCCTCACGGCGCCAGCAAGCAATACCACGTCACACAGACTGGCGGAGGCTTTGCGTGCAACGAGCACTGGGAGCACGGCTTGGCCCATGCATCTGAAGTGGAAGACATGAAAACAGCCACCAGTGGCTGTGGAAGGGCCTGGTTCTAGCTTGAGCCCACCAGCGGCACATTCTAGTGTTGTGCAGTCTGTTTGCTTCTATGCTCTTGTCGTCGCTGTCCTGGGCCACTCTGTCGGCCACTGTCTGCACTGGATCATTGAGCCGGCAGCTTCGGCCATGTGGGCAGGCGTCGGACTCGAAAAAGCCCGGGCTTCGCGGGCCATCGCTGCGACCTTAGCGGGGAGCTCCGGCAAAAACCCGGCTGGAAGCCTTTTTCTTGAAAGGCGCTGGTTCAGGCCGGTACCAGACTGAAGCGACCTTGGGCAAAGTAGACATCCTCAGTAACACTGACGTGGGTCATCTGCAGCCCGCAATGTTCAGGTTGTCGACGGTGGCACTCATTGGACGAACATACAAAACGAAAGCCGGACGCATCAGGCTGTCTTCAGTGGTCGACCAGCAACGAAGCATCCGACTGAGCTCTGGAAAGAGCTCAGAGCTGCTTTGCAGTTGAGGTGCTGCCAGTGACCGGTAAGCCATGACCATTCGGACGTTCGAGGCACCCGCCTGATCCGGGCAATGATGGGATCTTAGATCCGGAGGAGGACGGGAGCAGCTAGCCAAACCACTGCATGGACCAGCTCAGCCTAGCCTGCTGCATCATCGACCTGATGTGGCAGGATCGAGCTGCTGATCCACATTCCCTCCCTTGCTGCGCGTGAAAAACCAAAGCTATGTATGGTTACGATGATAACCTCTAACATCATCGCCAGTTTCTTGAAACAGCATTAGTTTGGTTGCTGTTCCCTTCTACGACCTAACACGTACTGCCTGCTACGCACGGCTTCCCTACTACTTACCTACTCGTGACTGCCTACGCACTACGCACTACACACTACTACTTACTACGACTACGACGACAATGACGACTAAGGCTGCCAGCTGCTGCTGCTGCTGCTGCTGCTCCTCCTCCTCCTCCTCCTCCGACTACTACTACTCCTCTTGCTACTGCTGCTACTATTACTACTACTACTACTACTACTACTACTGCTACTACTACTACTACTACTACTACTGCTACCACTACTACTGCTTCTGCTACTTCTACTACGTCTACTTCTACAGCTACTTCTACAGCTACTTCTACTTACACGAATTACTACTACAGTGGTGCTCGCAGATTCGGGTGCCGCTATCTGCTTTCTGCCGCTTGCTCACTTGGTCCACTGGAACCTCCCCAAATACTGCCACCGCGTAATACCCAACTTGAACCACTTGAGTTGGCTGTTTTGCGCCACTTGTACCCTTGGTACCACTCCGCCTGGGTCACTTGTACCACCTGTCCCAAAATGCCAGCCTTCCGTCTTCCCTTCCCTTTCCCAGTGCCTCTCGCACTAAACCCTAAATCGTTGACCCCAAAACCCTGACCCCCAAAACCCCAAACCAAGCAAGTGGCAGAAGTGCACAAGTGCTTAAAGTGACCCAAGTGCCCCTCAATCGTGTTGTCGAATTCTTCAATGGGGGACGATGGCCCTACCAATCGAACACGCATAGCGTTGTGCAGAATTTCAGTGGCCAAGGTGTCAACTGATACGCTTTCAGTAGCAGATCCCGAATCCAGAGGCCACCGCTACTACTACCCCTACTACCCCTACTACTACTACTACTACTACTACTACTACTACTACTGCTACTGCCACTGCTACTGCTACTGCTACTACTACTACTACTACTACTACTACTACTACTCGTGCTACTCGTGCTACTCGTGCCAGGACTACTACTACTACTACTACTACTACGACGACGAATGCGACTACGACTACGACTACGACTACGACTACCACTACTACTACTACTACTACTACTACTACTACTACTACTACCACTACCACTACCACTACCACTAACGCTACCACTACCACTACCACTACC